AAAAAAAAAAGTTGTGAGTGTATATCCCAAAACTGAATATAGACAAATACATTGACCTCACTGTGGAGCCAGTAGGTCACATGACCACTCAAGGAGGACGATGAATTCGGGAAGCTACTAGACACAGAACTCTCCTCGTGGTCATGAACCGGGTAAGCAGCAGCAGCAGCAGCAGCAGCAGCAGCAGCAGCAGCGAGGTCCCTTCTGCTCTTCCGAGTGCGGCTGGCCCCTTCTGCTAAGACCAGGGGTCAAACTCGGCCCATGTCATGGGGGAAGGGACCAACAGGGAAGCCACCTTCGCTGCTATCAGACAGAGTGCTCCCAGACGGGTGCTCCTGGGACCCACGTTCTCCGTGCAAATGAGGACAGACGGGGAGGCCCACGGGGGCTGAACCAGAGTGGGGGGTGTCCGTGTGGATTCAGGATTTAAAAACATGCACATTTCCCAGCTCTCTTGACAGAAAGACAGGGATGGGGTGATGGGAACAGGGTGACGCCCAAGAAGCGAGTATACACCCAGCACCTGATTCTCACGGCCACATGCTGTTCCTCTAGGCAGGAAGAATCCTCTAGTCCCAGCATATCCATAAAAGGAAAGAGAGAGAGAGGGAGAGCATTTGTTTAGGGAAGGCAAGGGCAGCAAAAAGACAGGACAGCTCCACCAATACAGAGTCCTTGGCGGTCGTCTGCAGCCTCCGCCTTCTCAGACATCGAAGGGATAAGCATCGGTGGGCCCTGGTCTCTGCCGCAGGTGACAGGACATTGTCCTGGGGGACTAGGATGGCCACCCAGGCCCAGAGCCCCACCCTCCAGAGGCAGCCGACACATTAAAAGGCAGAAAGCACCGTTCAGGTAGAGAGCTGGGCCGGCAGCACCTTCCCAGGGACCAACGCCACGGCGCTCCGCGTGACGGGCAGCCTCGGCCTTCTCCCCACCCATGTCGGGCCCGGGTGTGCTCTTGGGAAAACGCCACCCACACACACTCAGGCAGCTTGGCCTTCGCTGCGACAAGAGGCCTGGTCAGGAAGGACAGAAAGAGTGGGAGAGGGGAACAAGAAGTGGGGGTTGTCGAGTTAGGAGATGAAAGGAACAGAAAGACACAGCCATAGCTCAGGCAGTTGAGCCCTAGTCCAAAACGACAGGCTGTGGGGGCCAGCTGGGCTCACCTGAGCGCTTGGCCCACCCTGAGGTGGCTGCAGGGCCCACGGTGATGATAAGGGGACGCATGTGACTCCAGGCCTGCGCCCAGCACCCAACAACAGGAGCGAGCCAGGCACCTCCCCTTGGCTGTGGGCTCCAGGGTGGCAGGGACCATGTCAGTGCCACAAGTCACTGTGTCCCTAGCACCCAGTGCTCTGTTGCATTCATTAGACCCTGGATGAAGAGATCAGCCGGGCACAGTGGGGCACTTCTGTACTCCCAGCTGCTTGGAGGATGCTGAGGCAGGAGGACTGCAGGTTTAAGTTCAAGGAGCAGGAGGCCAGGGGAACACACTCCCATCTCCCCACTCCCCCCAGCACAAACGGAGAGTTGCTCGTACAGTGCTGGGCACTGCGTGTGACTGCCCGGGTCCCTGCGGCCCCCACTGGATCATCTATGAGAGGACAGGTAGCCAGGAAGCCACTGCAGGTGGAGGAGCGCGCTGCCCGGGCCCAGCACTCACCCAGGAGCTTCTGCAGCACCTGCCCGTCGTACAGGTCCTCCTCCAGCTGCTTCACAATGATCCGCTCTTCCACCAGGACGTCGTTGATCCAGTCCAGGAGCACCTGCAGGGAGGTGGGCGCACGTCACGGCCAGCACCACACGGGCAAGAGCAGAGACGCTGCTGCCCAGCGAGGTCACGGCCCCACAGGAGTGGGGCAGCAAGTGGGCAGCCTGCGGGGTACCAGGTCTGCCTGGTCAGGGACGCACACTACCCAGTGGGAGCACAGGCAGCGGGGGGAGCTGCTGGCAAGGAAGGGCTCCCAGTCCATCCCCTCCCTCCCCTCAGACCTACATCCCACAGGGCTGGGTCCCCCTAAACCCCAGCAGGGGACCCCTCAAGGTGCTTTCCTGGTCCACTTCAGGGTGTTTCCATCCTGGTTTTCCCAAGCACACACAAAAAAACCCTTTTAACTCTGGAAACAGCAGTTTCCGACCTTTCTAAGGGGGCACATTCTTGAACACACTGCTCTCCGTCACTCCGGGAAACAGCTGCGACCCGCGAAATTGGCCACCAAGTGGATTTCTGCCAGGTGTATTCTATTTTCCTACTAACTCAGAAATATTAAATCAGACACACAGTCTCTGGAAGAGCAGAAGTAAAATCGGATTCAAGCAGAAGGCGGGGTACGGCCCCTCCGGCTCTGCATCCGTGACCAGCTCGGAAGGCACAGATGGACGGAGTGGCCCTGCAGCTGCCCTGCTTCCCTGGTAGTGGCCTGAGGGTCACGGTCCTTTCTTGGCCTCTGCCCTCCCCACTGGGGACCCTCTGTCCCCTCCCTCCTGGCTGCTTCTCCTCCAGGTCCAGTTCATGATGCTATGACCTCCGTTGTCGCCCTAACACAAACAGTGAGACAGCCCGCCACACCATCCTGCGCAGGGGCCCACAGGCACCTCTGGACAAACTCGCAACCCCAGCGTGGGCTACTGTCCCAGCAAGTGCACAGGATGCGACCCACAGGCCTAGGACCCTGGACCTTTTCCTCTCGCCCACTTCTGCCTTCTCCTAGACTGGGCCCATCCCACCTCCTCTTCCTCTTGGCCAAACCTGGACCTCCCCGGGTTCCTGCCCTGCCAAGGCCTGTGGAGGCTGGGCACCCCCAGGCCATAGCTGGCACCCTCTGCCTCCACCCAGGCCACAGTCCACGGGTCACCTGCACCTCACAGCCCATCTCATCATCCATAGCCTGATAGGTCAGGATTCGAAGTTTCCCAGGCACCCTGCCCCAAATATTCTCCCTCTTGGCTTCCCAGGCACCCTGTCCCCAGACTCTCTCCTCTTTGGCCCCTCGCAGAGCCAAACCCAAAACTGCAGAACAGCCCACCTGACTCTGATCTGGGCAAGCAACCACGAAGCTCTCCTTTACTAACATCGAAGGTCCCCCACAGACCAGGAAGCCTGCCAAGATTAGCTCTCCCTTGGCTGTTCCAGCCCACAAACCTGCCTTCGCCCCACTAAACACCTTAACAGCTTAAAAGCCCTGTGCTTTGCTCTGTTCGATGTCGTCCTGGTCCACTGGACAGCCGGCCTGCTTGCTGCCCCCAATAAATCTTCTACTCACGTCAGAATGCCTAGTCTGGTAGATTGTGCGGGTTTGTACCTAACACACCCTACCCTTCTTTGTGCCAGGGATTTGGACACCTCATCCCCTGACCCAGACCTGGAAGGTCACCCAGATGGCTGCCCTAGGCTGACCCAGTGCCAGGGCCCTCAAAACAGATACCCCTGGCCACAGAACTGAGGCCCCCGCAATCATGCCCCCTCAGAGACCTGTTCTGGCCACTTAGTGAGATTTTACTGATCTGTTTTTTTCTGTTTGGATGTTTGAAAAGTATGTAAACTTAAGAGCTAGCCAGGTGTCGTAGCACATTCCTGTAATCCCAGCACTTGGGAGGCTGAGGCAGGAGGATCATTCAGAGTTTGAGACCAGCCTGGGCTACAAAGGGAGCACAGTGAGACCCTGTCTCAAAAAGTCAAAGAAAGAAAGCAACTTAAGAGCTAAGAGTAAGTGAACAGGGCCGGCAAGATAGTTCAGCAGACCAAAGCACTTGTGCTGGCAAGCGTAAGGACCAGAGTTCCACGCCCAGCCCCACATGTCAAGCTGGGCCCTTCCCCTGGGTGCACTGAGCCAACAGCTGAGTCCAGGAGTGGTGGCGCATGCCTGTCATCCCAGCATGAGGGGGCGGGGAGGCCGAAAACAGGACGACCGCTATGCGTCTGACTGCCTAATGAGCCACTGTGCCAAATACATAAATGAAAAACAAAGAGAAGTGAACAGATATGAGAGGTTGTTCAAAGAAGGCAGTGAATGTTTAATTTTTTTTAAATGTATTTACTATAGAGTCTACAGGGCCTTACTACACAGATTGGCCTTGCAGGGATCCTCCTGTTTTTCAGCCTCCCAAGTGCTGGGATTACAGGCGTGCACCACCACACCCAGTCTCAATCACCTCTCAGTGCGCCCCAGAGGTGGGGCAGGCTCAGCAGGCTGGGATTGAACCCCAAGCCCCTGCATCTGCCTAAGCAGGTGCTTTAATCCGCTGAACTATCTGGCCGGTCTTTGAGGCAGTGAATGTTTAAACTTGAAAATTTATTACAATAAAAGGCACAATGCCACTAATCCTCCTTAAAGTACGCACAATGCACCACTTCCTTTCAAAAACACTGAGTGCGTTATTCTCAGCAATGAGTTTTCTAGATAAGGTTGTATTAATTCTTAACATTCACCCTGTTTTTGATCACCCTGTGCATAGCTCGGCGATCCCTGACCCCATCCTGGTGCTTGGAACCCGCGCACCAGGCCTGCTCGATCTGTGCCCACCCCTGCACCTCTTCCTCAGCTCCCTGATCCCCAGCCATGTGCCCACCTACAGCAGCTGAGGCTGACAACAACCTGCCTCTGTCTCCCCACCAGCACTCAGGAGCCCTGAGCCGCAGACACCACAAATACGGGGTGAATGACTGCTGCTAATGTGCCGCTTGTCTTTTATGATTTGGGGCTAACACCTTTAAACTAGTTTTATAGGCAGAATTTCAAAGTGTCCCCTAAAAGGCCTAGCCTGCTGGGTACATAGCCAGCTAAACCCTAGAACTGTGAGAACAGTGAGACTGGGACACAGGTGACTTCAAGAGGGAGCAACAGAGTCAGGAGTGGTGGCGCACACTAATCTCAGCACTTGGGAGGTGGAGGCAGGGAGATCTCTTTCAGCTTGAGACCAACCCGGGCTACACAGTGAGGCCATGTCTCAAAAATTTAAAAAAAATGAACAGGAGGGGGAGGAGGAGGAAGGCAGAACTGGGGGGGCACCCTCATCCCACAAGCCCTAACACTGGCCGCAGAGGGCAGAGCTGGGCACTTGGGGAGCTGTGAGAGGGACCAGGTGCATGGAGATTCCATACCGGGCCCCTTGGGAAGCGGGTGGCTGCCTCCAGCAGCTGGGAATGGACTCTCCCTGGCGATGCTAGAAAGGAACGGAACTCAGCCACTGCACAGGACTCCCGACCTGAAGAACTGTGGGCAGCCCTTGGCATGTCTGAAGCTGCTAGCTGGGACTGGGGTGTGGCTCGGTGGCGAAGCGCATGCGCAGCCTGCATGAGGCCCTGGGTTCCATCTCCAGGCTGGCTATTAATAATCATCGCTGAACTGGTGAGTTGTTACCCAGAATAAAAAGCGAACACAGCCCTCAACCACCACTGAGGCCCTGCACCAGCCCCCTACACAAGTAACGCTGTCATGACAGGAAAGACACAGCATGGAGCAGGTGGCGAGGGGTGGGCCTGAGACCCAGGCCCTCCACAGTTTTCTCTGTGTCACCTGGAGCCACCCACTTACCCTCTCTGGACCAGTGTTCGTTTAATAATAACAATAACAATAACAATAACAATAACAGTAACAATGATAATAATAATAATAAAGCCCTAAGCCTGTGTAACCCAGCAATTCCAATTGCACTTTATCCCGAGGTACCAATCCGAGCGTGGCCCTGGGCATCTACTAATGCGGCAACAGCTCCAAATTGTGGAATGGAAAAATGAAACACACCAAGAAGATGGCCAAAGGGGCCAACGCAAACAGCCCGCGCAGCAGCCCACAGTGTCCCTGCGTCCGAGGTTCTTGGCAGCGCATATTACTTTGGAAGTCGGAAAAGACAATATTAAGCGTTGTGCTTACAAACCAATCACTGCCCTGGTGGCTTCAGTATCCAAATTGACAAGCAGGTCCTAAAACGCAGCTAGAAACGCAAGAGGCCTAGAAGAACCGAAACAACCTTGCAAGAGACGAGAGGGCTGGAGGGCTTTGCTCCCTGATCTCAGCCCCATGACAAAGCTCTCGTCACCCAAACTGGGTGCAGCGGACATCAAGGCCAACAGATAAAATCGGAAGTCCAGAAGTAAACCTCACGCTACAGCCAGTCTGGGTCAATAAGAGGCCGAGACCACCTGACAGAGACCAAATACCCTTTTAACAAACAGCGCTGGGACAACTGGACATGGACATGGAAAGGACATGGAAAGGAGAGCTGGACCCGCTCGTCACTCACGGCGCTGAACACTGGGGTCTAAATATCCCCTTGGACCCGGGATTGGCACAGATGTCTCACACTCTGTTAGCAGTTTTGGAAACTGGGGCCATTAATCCACTGGATTGAGAACCTCCTAGCTTAAGGAAGTGGCTCCTAGGTGTGTCTCGGTGGGGCAAGGGGGAGCGACCTTGGGTGCTGTCCATGGTGCTAACAGGCCCCTCTCGGGCGCAGCTTCCCTGCCCCGCTTCCTGGCCCCCATGCCCTGAGCAGCCCAGCTCCGCTGGGCCCTTGGACCACGCTGTCTCTGCTTTGGAGTCAGCTGACTGTGGACTGAGCCCCCTGACACCGTGAGCTGAGCTGGACCCTTCCTCCTTTCAATCGTGGGTGTCTGGTATTGTAGCTCTGCAGTGAGAAAGCGGACACTGAAGTAAACATTTTCCAATTTGACTCAGTCCATGTCTCCTACTTT